TCTTTCCCCTCTCTCTCACTCATACGGCTTTTCCAGCTTTGTTGGTACTGACTCCCTCTCTTTCCATACTTTTAGTTCTCTTCTCCCCCTGCACAGCTCTGCATATGAGAGACAAAGCAAGAGAAAGTTACTTTTGTCCCCTCATAGTCACATCTGTACCTGTGTGCACCAGGGGGATTGCAGTGTAGTGCTTGCAAGTGTACTAATAATTTGGGAAAAAAATGCTGCTCCGGGTTGTTCCAACACAGTTCCTGTGGTGCCCACGTCCTTCCCTTGGTGCCACTATAACACAGAAACCAGACCTCAGAAAAGTCCTTCTTACTAGTCTGGTCAGTCAAGAAAATAAACAGCAATATGTAACTCCAGCTATACTTGAGTAATTCAAGCCCTGATGCTCTAATGAGCTGTGCTTCCAAATGTACTTTTGATAATTTGTTATATCCCAAGTATATATCCTGTAGGAAAATTTCAGCCATTTTTCTCTACCCAAGTTGTTCTTGCCATGTCATATTATTGCTGGAAGAGTTTTCAAAATTATTAGACTTCCGACAGGTTGCAGAATGATGTGTTTTAAACAGTCCTGAATTGACCATATTTTTCTCAGGCTCCTGTTTTTAATTTAGACATTACACAAACACTATAGAAACTCCATTATCCAGACACCTTTGTGTGCCATTTTGGCTACAGCAGCTATGCGCCGCCTTAGTCTCAACAGAAAAATAATCTTTAATACACCATTATATTTTGAAACAAAATGTGATTTTCCTTCTTTTGAAGTCTTGTACCTACTTCTGGGTTTTTTAGCAAAGTCTAAATGGATAGGCACCCAACTCCAGCTATACAGTGATGGGCATTGGATTTCTAATACCTTTCTGCCCCTTCAAAAACCTCATTTCATAGTGAGGTTCACTTTGCTGTGCCTGAGTGTGTGCCCCTGTCCGCAGGGCTTCTGCAGTAGGGTGAGCACGTGATTGGGCACCAAATTACCAGGCACCAAATCCAAAACTTTGTGGCAAAAGCCTGAACAAGGAGACAGTTGTACCGTGTCTTTGTTAAAGGCATATTTGGCTCTTTTGGATTGACAGAGGAATTCAGTTTCAGGGCCAAAGTGTCTTTCATAGGAGATAATGTATCACCCATCATCACCTAGCGGAAAGTACTCTTTGGCTGCTTGTGTGATATATCCAGCATCATAGTCCGCATTTCAGGTAGATAATGCCCGATATACAGGGCTTTAAAAATCAGTGCCAACACTTTACATTGCCCCATGAAGCTGATAAAAATCCTAGGAAAATGGTGGGGTTTCAGTCTTAGTTTCAATCAATATTCCCAATCCTTCCAAGTTAAGTCCAAGGACACCACAGAATAAAATGTTTGCCACTCCCAACAAGAGTCTGCCTTATGCATTCACCTTTTGGGCATTAGAAATCTGAGTAATCCTATAAAATAGAGACACTAAAATATAGCAGCCAACCCAGCCACAGTAACCCATTCACACCTATTGCTGTAGGGCCTGTGTTCTTTCTTTTATTTATTACCAGTTCAACTAATCACTTTTTGCAAAAGGTGAATTCTGCAATTCAGAGATTTTCTCCAGCGGTGTGAGTGGGCTTGGGCTTTGATTCCTCATCAACAGGACTGCCAGTGGTCCTGAGGTCTTTGGGCATCTAGACCTCTCCAAAGCTTCTCTTGGAACTTGAGGCTATGTGGTAGCGCAGGAGCAGAAGCTTATCTTTTAGCAGATAAAAATTGTTGTCAAGTTGAGTCAAGTTGCCTTTGCTATATCCCAGAAGCAAAAAAAAGGACAATAGTAGGTTTATGCCACTGTATCCTTGGTATAGGCCGCCCCATGAACATTTTCTGAAGAGCTCTTACTGCTCCATCTATACATTCACAGCAGGGGAAGCAGAAGGTGGTTTGCTGTCATGGTCCCTACTGGCCCTGGTATTCCTAGTAACAGGAAGATAACCATCCCTGTGAAAAACCCACTCTAAATTTATGATTTCAAAACAAAAATACAGGAAAAAAAAGCTAGCTGAAGAGAGAAGGACAGTATTTTAGCTACCAGACAAGGACAGGATTTGGTCAATCCAGGTGCTGTTCCTGTCTCTCCCGATGTTCTTGGATAGTCTTACACGTATTTAGCCTGGCCGTTTCAAACCTTACTGCCTAGAATGATGTATCTTGAAAACCAAGCTTGATTTACAGAACCGCTAACGGCTGGTGACTGCCAAGAAGGCTGGCGAATGCCAAGAAGGCTGGCTGGCTCCCCACTCCTTTCTGTCCATCCTTTCTCCAAGGATGAAAAATGCCGCAATTACCTGGAGCCACAGTATTGTCAGCTGCTGAATGGCAGGAGTGAGTACAAGCGTACAAGTTGTGATGTATTAACTATGAAAGAAACATTACAGTTTTTCTTAAAAGTGCAAAAGTTC